TTGTAATTCGCTTCGATCGTTTTACTGTTGATTAAACTGCGGAAGATCCTAAATTAGCTTCGAATCTCTTAAGCTGACCAAGCCCTCTTAGACAGATTATCCGGCAAACGACTAGCCTTCATCGGGATAGAATGCTTAGGCGATTCACACAGATCTCCACTACGTGGAATGAATTCCAGTACAAAGCAGTGAATTGACTGACTCTCGCACAATCAATTCACTACTATCAATTGAAGAAGCTCTATCAACCTAATCATATTCTATCTATTATAGGTTAAAGCAAAAATCAAGAGAATTTGATCGCGATTCAATTGACTCAATAAATCATGCCTCAATCGATTGTAATCAAACAATATAGCATCCAAAACTTCACACAAGAAAGATCCTAACACATGGATATAGGATTCCTCAAGACCTAAGTGAAGGGAAGTTACTCCACAGAGAAGAGAGAGATTGCAGAAATCTGATCTAGATCTTCAATCTCCATTTCCAAACTTGATTCCCGAGCTCTAATGGCGAAAAAATCCTCCCAAATAGCTCCAAGTTCCCAAGTCTCTCTCTCTCTCTAGGGTTCATCCCTTGGGTGTTTGGAATCCAAAAACCCAGCTCTCCCTCTCTAAAATCGTAGAAATCAGACTTATACTCGAGCAGGGGCAGAAACACGGTCGGGAACACAGCCGTGTTTAGTCCTGTCCGTGTTTGGTCCCGCCCATGTTTTGCATCCCTTCAGCAGTCTTCAAAATAGAGGCTCGTCATAAAAAACACTGGCGGGGTGTTGAGTGAAACACGACCGTGTTTTAAGGGAAGCCTTCCTGTGTTTCTTCCTCCAAACTTGTTCCACTATATTCGATGCTTCATTTCTCCCTCGTCCGGACTCCGAATCAGTCGTCGTTTAATCCCAGACGCTCGTATTCTAGTCCTCTTTATTTTCATGACAAGCTTACATGATTATTTTTCCATAAAATGAGGTAGAAATCCATTATTCTTCAGGTCATGACCGAATTTCTTCTCCTGAATCGCCAATTGACCTTTGATTGACTTGAAACTTGCGCCTATGCTTCAATTTTCGCGCTAGGACTTGAAATGTGACAAAAGAACAAAATCTAGCGTACAATAGGCTAAGAAAGCACAAACTCGAGCCAAAACGATCAAGAAACAAGGGTGCAAACATGTGCAAATACGACGTTATCACGGGTTAAAGTCGCTTTGGTTGGATACCCATGCGTTTGGACTCAATTGTCATTCTAAACCAAAATGAAAAAGATAAAAAAAATACTAAATTTCAAAAAACTCGCTCACGATACTCTTAACATTGCGTTCAATTCACTTTGATCCGATTAGACCTAGTTTTAACAAATTCATAAATTACCAAACCTGAAAATTACAAAAGCGGATAAAACTCGCACTAAGTACGAAGCACGTCAACAATGGGTTAGAGTTCAATTTTCATTCTCAATGAAAAAGAAAATGAGAAATAAAAAAAATATTAAAGTGTACAAAACTTGCTTTCTATCTAAAACTGGTCAAAAACATGTTCAGCTTGCGTTGACCAATTTTTTAACAAATTAATACATGCTTCAACCTGCAAATTATTAAAGCGTCCCAAGCTCTCTCACTATACAACACTCGTAAATACCTTAGATTCGGGTTCAATTGATTTCCAAACCAAAAGAAAAAAGAGAAATTATAAATACTAAAGTCGATTTCAAGTCGCTTTGCCCGGATCGAATTAGGTTGGATACCCATTGATTTGGGTTCAATTGTGATGATGCTCAACAATAAGGAAAAAAGGTGAAAGAAAAAACACCAAAGCGGACGAAACTCGATCCCGATACAAAGGTTGTAGAATGGAGAGTGGGGTAAAAGAAGGACTTGGAACTTCCCCACTTGCACTTGAATGAGTGTCAGAGCCACTAATGAATAGTAATTTCAATGTTAGACTTTTATATATTATTATTATTATTATTATTATTATTATTATTATAAATACTAAAGCCGGTTTCAAGTCGCTTTCACCGGATCGAATTAGGTTGGATACCCATGAATACGGGTTCAATTGTGATCATGCTCAACAAAAAGGAAAAAAAGTGAAAGAAAAAAAAACACTAAAGCGAACGAAACTCGGTCCCGATGCAAAGGTTGTAAAACGGAGAGTGGGGTAAAAGAAGGACTTGGAACTTCCCTACTTGAACTTGTAGGAGTGTGAGAGCTACTAATGAATAGTAACTCCAAAGTTAGACTTTTATATATTAATTATAAATACTAAAGTCGGTTTCAACCCGCTTTGACCATAGCGAATTATGTAGGATACTCATGGATTCGGGTTCAATTGTGATCATGCTAAACAAAAAGGAAAAAAGTGAAAGAAAAAACACTAAAGCGGACAAAACTCGGTCCCGATACAAAGGTTGTAAAATGGAGAGTGAGGTAAAAGAAGGACATGGAACTTCCCCACTTGCACTTGGAGGAGTGTGAGAGCCACTAATGAATAATAACTCCAATGTTAGGCTTTTATATATTAATTCATTAATTTGACCAGATCAAATTAGGTTGGATACCCATGGATTTAGATCGATTGTGATCATGCTCAACAAAAAGGAAAATAAAAGTGAAAGAAAAAACCACTAAAGCAGACGAAATTCGGTCACGATACAAAGATTGTAGAATAGAGAGTGGGGTAAAAGAAGAACTTGGAACTTCCCCACTTGCACTTGGAGGAGTGTGAGAGCCACTAATGAATAGTAACTCCAATGTTTTGCTTTTATATATTATCGAATTAGTTTGGATACCCATAGATTTGGGATCAATTTGTGATCATGCTTAACAAAAAGGAAAAAAGTGAGAAAAAACACTAAAGCAGACAAAACTCGGTCCCGATACAAAGGTTGTAGAATGGAGAGTGGGGTAAAAGAAGGAATTGAAACTTCCTCACTTGCACTTGGAGGAGTGTGAGAGCCACTAATGAATAGTAACTTCAATGTTAGGCTTTTATATATTAATTAATATATATTAAATTGACCGGATCGAATTAGGTGGGGTTCAATTTGTGATTATGCTCAACAAAAATGAAAAAAGTGAAAGAAAAAAACACTAAAGCAAACGAAACTCGATCCCGATACAAAGTTTGTAGAATGGAAAGTGGGGTAAAAGAAGAATTTGAAACTTTCTCACTTGCACTTGGAGGATGTGAGAGATACTAATTAATAGTAACTCCAATGTTAGGCTTTTATATATTAATTAATAATTAATAATTAAATTAAAATGGGCTCAGCCACTAGTATTTGAATGTTGTACCTGAATTGGTTATTTTAATTGTTCGATCTTCTTTTTTCATAGATATCTTGAAATAGTAATAGTTAGATAAGAAGAAAATAAAGTTTTCGCAAGTGCTAAAGGTAACATAGCTCAACTGGTAAAATTCTCGAGAGATCCTCGACCGGGAAGTGTGAGATCATGTGTTCAACCCACCTCGAGGCCTGTTGTGGTGTTCCGAGAGGCACCATAAAGGGATCTTATTGGGAGGGCCCAAAGGGTTCAAGCAGATGAACCCTTAGATTTGGTCTGGCTCAAGCGGTGTGTGCGTTGACAATAAAGGGTCTCCTGTCGATGAGTTGTTGAACCGCCGATCAAAAAACTTGTTTTGTATTGATATGGATGGTCCTATTATATCTACGAGTCGCGAAAGGAATCATGTTGGAAGAAAGCACTCAGAATTTGAAACTTCTCTCACAATGGTGATGCTCGGGAGCAATGAAAAAGGAGATTGCTTAGGTTGTTGCTGCTACTTTGGTTGTTGTTGATGTATATAGAGGTTAATTGAGGTAGGGCAGTAGAAAATGGAGGCTAGGGTGATGACATAATCGTTGACGGCAAGAGGAACCAGCAGGAAAGGACTTGGTCGAGGTTGACTAGAGAGTGGTTGTTGTGAGAAGAGATACGTGGGAGAGTGGTGTTGATGTGACTTGAATCGGAATATCAATCGCTATTATTGGAAGTCGTGGGGGTCTCGCTGACCGTGGAGAAGTACTAAAAGTACTTATCATACTCCTCTGTAATCTGGATCTCCTCGAAGTATAGTGAAACTGGCTCTCTCCTACCCGTGGACTAACTAACACACATTGTATTGGCGAACCATGTAAATCGTGTGTGTGTGTGTTTTTAATTCTTTCTTGCATTGTCGAATCCTCCAATTTCTTGATCCGTAGAAAACAGTCGTGACAAGTGGGTGTAACATTTTAGACAAATCTCACCTCACCAAATCACGAGAGAGATTTATGATTCATAAGGAACACCCTGTCTTAACAAACAAGATGCCTTCTGGGGTGAACTGAATAAGTTATTGTAAGGCCTCTGAAATTCAACGTGCTCGGTGTGGAGCAGTGTAAAGATGGTAGACTCTTAGGAAGTCATCATGATGTACCAAAAATAAAACCGTACTGGGTATGCTCAAAGCAGACAATAGCTTGATCAAGAAAGGTCAGGATGTTACAGAGGCCCTATTCTTTTCCTAGTTTTTTTCTTTTTGACTTTGAAATCTTCTCACTTTGAATTTTTAATTTTGAAATATTTGTTGTTCCAGTTTGAGCAATTGAGCCTCTTATTCACGAAAGAGAGAAAGAGAGAAGAAATTTTGGCTCATATTAATTTTGGTGATTATCGCTAGAGCTCGCACCTCCTTGTCTGGTTGTATTGATTGCATTCTCCTACCGTTAATCATTCAATATGTAGAACTCAACAACTATGTTACTTAGTTCGTATTATCTCTTTAGCAATAGCCTCGACTAGTCGACTGTAGCCGAAACCTCTATTGCACTTCTCTCGTCATGAGCAAACCAAATGTCTGACATTGTTTTCTTAACTAAGGGAAGTGCATTAGGTCATATCTGCTCAAAGATTCACACTAATAACCACAATTTAAACTAATGGTTATGCTCAACCCTTCTACCTTAAGAACATCAACAAATGGACCTATATATATTCCTTATACTAAGTATTCCAATGATGAGTATTATTCTTCCTCTATTCCTTCGACAAACCTTTGATAGTGTTCCCGCTTTAATCCAGCCCACGTAGACATCTTTACCAACCACACATTTAACTTTGCCAACCATTCCTAAAAAAAAAAAAAAAACTTTGTCAACCACTTACATGAATCAACAGAAAAATTGGTTAATACTTCACAATTTTAAGGTAAGCATTAAATAATTTCTAACTCTGCTTATCCATTTTTCAACATTCAAAGTATCCAATTAATTTTCCAGTTCTGAAGCTTATCTTCTCCTTTCTCACAACGCTTTAGAAGTAATTCAGAATTTTTTTAAATGAATGGTTTGTCATTATGATATTGTTTAGATTATTTTCTAGTGAAGAAAAAGGAAGTAACTGATTGTTTAGACCAAGGAAAGAAAACTAATGAATTCTTTACCAAAATAAATTTGGCGGGTTTGTGTATAAATTGCAGTCCTTTTTTGTCAATAATCTCAAAGGAAAATCATAAAATTAGTTGCGAGGAAAGAGGAACAATATGTGGTCATTCAAATCTTTACTGCACATTCTTACATTCGGAACTTTCTTCTATCTAATGTGAATCTAATATGCAATGCCACCACCAATGGCGACAGAGAAGTCGGTGCCCAAATCATTTCAGCCATTGAGGATTCATTTTTTGTTTTCTGATCAATACTAATTTCTTGCCGATCTCTATATGATGTTATTCTAATTAATTAACAGGTTTATATCGTGTACATGGGCGCATTGCCTAAGCATGATCATTACTATTCTCCCTCATCTCACTATCCCTCCCTACTCCAAGAGGTTGTCGATGACAGGTTGATATTTTCTTAACATCTCTAATCGTCATAATAATTACCAAAAACTCGTTCAATACTCATATACGCAACAAAAAATTATCAATTTTTTACCTATTAATTTACTTATGTTGCATCTCGTACGGAATAAACCATCTCTCCATAATTTGTGTATGGTATATGTATAACATATTTAATACACTCTTTTAAGTTATTGGATTGATAATTTAATAATTATTTGTAATTTAAATCATAATTTTTTGTAATACTTTATAACTGGTCGAAGATTATCAAACATATTGTTCGTAGGGTAAAATAATGAAAAAAATGGCATACTTATTTAACACCTTAACTCTCTCGTATCGTAATTTTTCAACTACCTTATCATCTTTTCATCAGTCAAATTGGAAATTCTGATCATGGCTATAACCATTTCCATTTGTACAGCCAATTAGGGTCAGCAGGATTATTGATCAGGAGTTACAAAAGAAGTTTCAACGGATTTGCGGCAAAGCTAACCGGTGATGAGGCACGAAAGATTTCCAGTATGTGACTTAATTTGTCTTCTTTCATGCACAAACGCATTTATTATAATTTATTTGCAATAAATTTACATATAAACATCTATTTTGGTTGTGGTTTTGCAGGTAGAAATGACGTGGTCTCTGTTTTCCCGAGCAAGAAGTTGCAACTCCAGACCACGAGATCTTGGGATTTCTTAGGCCTACCTCAACCCACGATGATTAAGAATCCTACGGGCGTTGCTAGTGATGTTGTGGTTGGAATTATAGATAGTGGAATCTGGCCGGAATTGCCCAGTTTTGATGACGATGGTTTTGGTCCTCCGCCGGTGAAGTGGAAGGGTGTTTGCAAAGGCGGAACCAATTTCACTTGTAACAAGTAAATATTCGTTCAGTCATTCTTCTTACCACGCCTTTACATAGCCTAAAAATTTAATTGGCATTTCCTTTTTTATGTTTAGAGTGAGAATTTTTTTATTTTACCTAAAACTTGAGAATTTAAAATTCCATAAAATTGTACATGAGTTGTGTTACTTGAAATGAAATTATATGTCCAACAAAAATTTATTGATCTACTATCTTCATTTTTATGGAATTTTTATTAAAATTACTTAGAAGGTGGTGTGATTTAATGTACAAGAAGTCTACCCATATTCATTTTTACCTTCCTGACAGCTAATTGTACTCGTAATATTGGACCCCAAATTCATTGTAGCAAGATAATCGGAGCTCGGTACTACTATTCCCAATCGGCAAGAGACGACCAAGGTCACGGCACCCACACGGCTTCGACGGCAGTAGGAAACGTGGTAAAGGACGCCAGCTTCTATGGGCTGGCAAGTGGCGTCGCCAGAGGTGGATTTCCCTCTGCTCGAATCGCCGTCTACCAGGCGTGTGGCGGCTTCGGCTGTTCGTCGGCGGACATTCTGGCCGCCTTCGACGATGCAATAGCCGACGGAGTCGACGTTATATCTGTATCGATTGCGACACTCGAGGCCGTTGATATAGACGCCGACACCGTCGCAATCGGCGGTTTTCACGCGGCGCGTCGAGGAATCCTCACTGTACATTCCGCCGGGAATAGTGGCCCCCGATCTGCCACCACTTGTAGTGTAGCTCCATGGTTGCTCTCTGTCGCCGCCAGCACCATCGACCGGAAATTTGAGTCCAAAGTTGTTCTGGGCAACGGGAAGATAGTCACGGTTTGGAATTTCTAGAGTCAAATTGAGGCAATTTTTCGTTATATGTTACCCTAATTCACCCTTTTGGATTTGGGGGAACGTTGTTTATAGGGAATTTCAGTGAATGCGTTCGCGGATAATGGGCCGGAGTCGCCGTTGGTACATAGAGATCAATCACTTGGCTGCGTAGGGTGGGTGAACCCTCAAACGCCCTCCATCTCCATTTTCTCTAGCTAGCTTGTTGCTCTATTTGACAATGGAGGAAGATATTGTCAACTGTTTTCTCAATTACTGTATCAATTTCTTTTACTAGAGTTTGCTGCCTGGACAGCATTGTAGTGAAGAACAAAATTGTGATATGTGATTCGATCGACGGCAAGCTGATGGCTTTTGAAGCTGGCGCCAAGTGAGTTATCTACCCTTACAACACTTCCGAAGCTGCCTCTGTTGTCCCCTTTCCTGCCGCCGGTGTGGATTTCCAAACCCTTGACGCCGTAATCTCATATCAGAACTCTAACAAGTATGTCCATACTAGCTAGTTCTGCTTCATTATGATGCCACTTTTGGATTAAGCAAACTTACATATGCTTGTTTTTCCGTAGAAATCCAGTGGCGAAGCTACAAAAAAGTGACACTGTGAGAGATCCCGGAGCACCATTGGTGGCTTCCTTCTCCTCCAGAGGTCCAAACTCGATCATCTCTGGCATTCTCAAGGTATGAACATAACCAATGTATGTCGACATCGTGATTCAACATTTCAATTACAAGATCGCAGAGTCTCTTTTTATGTTTGTGATCGTTGTATTGATGTTTTCACAGCCGAATGTGAGTGCTCCTGGGGTGGATATATTGGCTGGGTTTTCTCCGGTAGCATCATTAACTGATGACGCCGATGATAAAAGACAATACAGTTTCAATGTGTTATCTGGAACTTCTATGTCTTGCCCACATGTCACCGGCGTAGTTGCTTACCTCAAGACCCTGCACCCCGACTGGTCTCCTTCCGCCCTCAAATCCGCCATCCTCACCACCGGTAATTATTTGAATTGCACTCTGTTTCCACCCCTGATTTTCAAACAGGGGAAAATACAAACCTGGGATTCTTGTCTCTTACAGCGACACCAATGCATCCGGGGAATGTTCAAGATCCAAGCATTACATACGCATCTACGGAATTCGCTTATGGATCGGGGCAGCTAAATCCCGTGAAGGCCACAAATCCAGGACTTGTCTATGAAACATCAGCACAGGACGACGTCAACTTGCTCTGCAACTTGGGCTACACTAGCGACAGGCTCAGAACCGTCACTGGCGACAAAAACAGCAGTTGCATTGCTCGAGCTGACCCGACTGCTATAAAGGACTTCAACTACCCTTCCATAACCACTGATGTTTCGGGTACGAGGGCTTCTTTCAAAATTTCATTTCTTAGAACGGTGACAAACGTGGGAACAGCGAAGTCGACGTACACATCCCAAGTTGTACCGACCATGGGAAGACTGAAGATTGAAGTGACGCCACCGGTTCTTTCTTTTGGGTCTCTAAACGAGAAGAAATCTTTCACCGTCACTGTATCTGGCGGCAATTTTCCGGCCAAAGGTGGTTTCTTGGCCTCTGCTGCACTGAATTGGAGCGACGGAGCTCACAGTGTTAGAAGCCCAATTGTTATCTACACAAAGGAATAGCCTTTTGACTTCACTCTAATTGCTTGTTCATTGATAAATAAAGGTCGGGCAACTTATATTTGGATGTCTTACCATAATGTTATTAATTTTTTTTTTTTGGTCTTCTTTTTCATAAATAAGCTAGAACAAATAAAGTCTTTATAGGCTAAAGTCACAAAACTTACAAAAGAAAGAGAGATGATAGTAGGTGAGTTGCAAACCACCGATAAAAAGGTTGTTATGTACCAATATGGGCAATCATATTATATCTACAATAAGCTAAACAGAACGAAGCACGTTGGAGAGAACTGCTTAAAACTTGGTAACTATCTCAAAATGATCTCTATCAAAAAATTCGACGAAACATTGACACTGATCTTCCAAAATCTGTGCATCACAACAACAACAACAACAAAAAACATAACATTAGAAAAGAAATGAAATAAGATATAACGAAAGTCATCACAAAGAGCCACGAGTTCAATAAGAAAGAGATTGAAGATATCATTGTAGAACGCTAAACAAACTCAATAGCTCGATCCCCTATAAACCCAATAAACCGTATACTCCAACCAAAATCAACTAACTGGTTTGCTGAAAAAGAGGGATGTGAGAGGCTTCGACCAACGGGAGGAGCGCCACTAGAAGAAGCATCCTAAAACCAAGTCGCATTCTGCAATCTAGGGATGGAAAGGATGCACCAAGACTTATGGATGAAATTGCATAGAATCATAAGTCTCGTTTGTTCGTTGGCGACCCAGGAGATGTTATACTACTTTAATCCAATGCCCATAGGCGGCTAGGGTTCGCAAATCGTGCGGTCTTGTCCAGACTGAACCATACATATGATTTATAGTTGTGACCGATAAACTGGAGTATAGATTAGAGATTAGACCATATGCTACACTATCCAGACCAAACAATACCTGTAAGATTTGGTTTGATTTAGTCTGGACCATGCAAACCACATTGAGCATAAACTGAAAAGCTTTTTTAGTCAACCACACGGAAAATCTAACTAATAACTAAGAAAAAAATATTTTTTGTCTTACTTAAAACATAAATTTCAATACACGTGCATAATTTTGATATCATAATTCTGAGTAAATAACAAAAACACAAAGTCAGGGCAACCCAACTTGCACCATAATGTCATAAACATTATCATAATGTAAGGTGGAGACACGATTGTCTTTATTATGAGGCAGAGTATGGTTTAGGAGTGAAGGAGGAGACGGATTTAAAAATTAGGGTTGAGAGTTGGGTCTCGCTTAGAAGTTGCGAGAGTGGTTGAGTGAGTTGCTAACACAAATTGAAAAGTAGAATGGGTCCACAATTTGGTCTGCAAATCGTGGTCTTGACCAGGCCAAGATATCAAGATATCCTTTAATGTAGACCATAGACTAGACTAAATCATTCTTAACGGTCTATCGTACGAACCAAACAACACAATCTAATTTGGTTCATAATTTTTTAAATGGTCTAGTCACGATTTTTTAAATGGTGTGGTCTATTTTTTCCGCGCTAACATAGACATGTTCTTTATTAGTGTTGGGGGTATTACAAAGGAAAGCCCAAAAGAAAGCCTAATAACCCAGCAAGGTAAAATATCACTATGGGGAAAGCCCATACGCAAGCCCAGATAGGTAGGTCGGGCCCAGATAGCTGAGTCGGCCAGGAAGGGGAGGCGCATAGAGACAAGGATCGCTAACTGAAAAGGAAGTACAGATTGTTCATGGTCCCCCCCATTGGGCGCCTAGTACTTGTCAGAAGAACAGTCATGTTTGTCGGGGCGCCCAGATTGGTTGAGGTACGGAGCATTAAATGCATTGGTGACATAAGGTTGAAAGGAAGGAGCCCAGTTGAAAATAGCACCGGTAGGTAGCATTTATGCAGGTTGGATTCTCTCACTAAACTAGAGTTTGACACTTCTCTCTTTAGGAATCAAACTAACTTGATCGTCAGAATATTAACGAGCTTGTTCGCCCCCTCCGTGAGTTTGTGTATAGGTGAGGCGCCTAAGAAGAACAAGAAGACTGTGGTCCGTGGGAGCCTGAAGAGTGTGGGACCCAAAATTTTTGCTCAAACAATTGACGCGCCACGAAGGGGTCGACGAGCTGATAACTTTAAAGATGGAGGCACCCATGAGTGGGGAGGATGAGCAAGTTACGGGGGATCCCTACCAAGGGTCAAGGGAACGGACGCCTAGCGGAACTGAGGAAGGGAGCGATTCAAGGCGCCTGCACTCAGAAGGCACCTCGATCACTAAGAATGAAATGTTTAAGATCATTGAAAACCAAAACGAGGCAATTAAAATTCTCAAGCGGGAAGTGGAGGCGTTGAAGAAAGGAGACGGGCGACCCATAGCACGACCTCGAGGAAAAGGGAAAGGACCTTGGAAGTGGAGGGAGATTCCAGTCATTTCAGACGCCCTGTGACCGCCTAGCACCCAGACGATCACGCTGGCTCAGATTTTGGAGAACGTAACGGGTGGGCACGTCGGCGCTTGCCCCGACACTTCACTATAAAGCAGCCGCTTGTGAGAAAAGTGTTGATGGAGCCAGCATAGACTAACATACCACCGCTCTCGACTTATGATGGGACAACTGACCTAGATGACCACCTCAGCAGTTACTTCACGAAGATGCAATTGTACAATAGTTTCGACGTAGCTTTATGCAAGGTGTTTCCGTTGACCTTTGCGGGAGTAGTGCTGGATTGGTACCACCAGATCGAGGAAGGGCGCATAGATTGCTTCAAAAAATTTGCGGCGTTGTTTTTGGAAAAGTTTGCTAGTAGGCACCCTGTTTAAAATCAAGCAAAAGAAGGGGAAACCCTGCGGGAGTTCTACGAGAGGTGGGTTCCGGTGGCTATGGAAGTGAAGTATGTGCAGCCACCAGTGTTGGGATGTTGTTTCGAGGAATGCACAACCATTGAGGAGCTCTGTTGGGTGCTGTCGAAAAGGTATGTGATGTCCACGAATGATTTAGATCGCAGGGTGCAGAAGGTGATTTTATTGGAGGAAGAAGGGTGGACAAGCGTCGAACAAGAGGAGATGAGGGGCATCCCCTGCGGAGATAGGCGCCTATGTTGGTCCCCACTTACTTGCCCACCTCCTATGAGCCAAGACGAAGGATGGACCCTGGCACCCCTCGCCCAAGGGGAAAGGGTCGCTTGTGGAGTTCAACGATACACTAAAGAATGTGCTCCAACATGTGAGGTACAAGGGGTATCATGTGCAGTGGCCGGGACCAATGAGGGGACATCCAAATGAGCAGAACCTAGACCGGTATTGCGACTTTCACAGAGAGAGGACACAACACCACTGATTTCTATCAGTTAAAAACAGAGTTGCAAGGTCTGGCGAATAGGTTAATGCTCAATGAATTTTTCAAGAAGCCTAAGGAGAAGGCGCATCGGAGCTACGTTGCTAGGAGTCTAGGACTTAGTTGGGGGCGGAGGAGTTGCCCCCGCCACCGTTTGACCTGGACCCATAGGGGGCGCATGAGCGATTTCGGCTCTTGGTGGAGTCCATTAGGAATGATCGATCTAAGGGAAAAGTTGGAGGGTAATCGCCGGTTGAGGGTTCTTCAGTTGACTCAAAGGAGGCGATCCACATCAGCTTCAACCAGACGCCTGACGAGGCGTGCATACTCCCATCTGTGGAGGCGCTAGAAATACAAGGTGTAGTTGTGGGATGCAAGGTGAAGAGGATACTCGTCGACACGGGGAGGTCTATGGATGTGTTGTTAAGGATACAATATCATGGATGCAACTCTCACCAGACATGATACAGCCATCGAGTGATCGGGGTTTCAGGGGCGCCTGCCAGAGGGATTGGGTGTGTGAGTCTGTCAGGGACCTTGGGAGACGAGGTGAAATGGGCCACTCATGCCATAGTCTTTGGAATCATGGATTGTCCCTCTCCATACAAGTCAATTCTTGGTAGACCCCTCTTGGCCCTCTTCAATGGAGTAGCCCCACTTGTCATCAAACGCTGAAGTTCATCGCTCCCTGGGGAGTGGGAGTGGCCCGAGGAATAGGCACCCTTGCTATGCTCGAGAGTCAAAAAATGCACGCCCAAGGAAGAATAAGAGAATTGATGCAGTGGACGTCGTGTCGGACGTGGTGCCACGAGAGGAGGCAGCTGATGACGAGCTGTTGGTCGCGTTAGAAATTGGGCACCCCGAAAGGCAAGTGAGGATATCATCTCAGGAGCCCCCTGAGGTAGTGGAAAAGTTGGTTGCTCTCTTAATAAGAGAGTTCAGAGAGATTTTTCGCTTGGAGCCTAAAGAGATGCCTGGTGTTGCGCCGGAAATCGAAATGCAGCAGTTGACAGTGGATGAGGGAAAGAAGCCTATTCAATAAACGCAAAGGAACCTGTCTCAAGAAAAGGAGGCGGGGCTCAGAATGGAGGTCGGTAAGCTCATCAAAGTTGCACTGGTTGAGGAAGCCACATATGTCACGTGGCTTTCAAACGTCCTCTTTGTGCCAAAGCCATTAGCAGACTAGAGGATGTGTGTAGATTTTAGGAGTCTCAACAGAGCATGCCCGACCAACGCGTACCCTATATACGCATCGATCTATTGGTGGACTCTACTGCATATCATGAGATGCTCAACTTTGTTGACATGTTCTCGGGGTATCATCAAATCCCCATGGCGGAGGAAGATCGAGCGAAGACGGGTTTCATGAAAAATGCAGGCGCCACATACCAACACATGGTCAAAAATGTTGTTCGTCACCAAACTAGGAGAAATGTGGAGGCTTATGTGGATGACTTGATCGTGAAAAGTCAAAGACGAGAGGATCATTTGTGCGACTTAAGAGATACATTCGAGATCATGCGAGTGCATAAGTTGCGCCTAAATTCTCTCAAATGTGTATTCAGCGTCGAAGCGAGTAAGTTTTTGGTTTTCATGATCACGAAGCGAGGCATCGAGGCCAATCCCAAGTAGGTGGATGCGATCGTTAAGCTAGCACCACCCAAGACACCCAAGGAGGTGCAAGACTTGGCGGGACGTCTAGCTACCTTGGGGTGCTTCATTCCGAGATCGACCGACAGGACTACTCTCTTCTTCCGAGTACTCAAAAAAGCGTTGCGCTTCCAGTTAAACGTCGATTGCAATGATGCGTTCGAAGAGTTAAAACGCATTCTCGCTACACCTACGGTAATGACAATGCTCAGGGTAGGAGAAGTGTTGTATTTGTACATTTCGATCTTAGAGATATTTGTGAGTGCAGTGTTAGTCTCGAGGGAGGCTCCCATGGTAGAAAAAGGTCGGTATACTACGTCAGCCGAACGATAACGGCCCGTGAAAGGAGGTATGAGCCTATCGAGAAGGCCACCTTGGCGATCGTACCTGCAACGACTAAGTTACGATCATACTTTCAAGCGCACACCGTGGTCATTCTCATAAATATCCCACTAAAGTCCACGTGGGGATCCATGGACGTGGCCATGTGCCTTGTTAAGTGGGCAGTTCAATTAAGCAAGTTCGATATTAGGTATGCGCCTCGTCCGGCAATTAAGGCAGAGGTGTGGGCCGACTTTGTCGCAGAAGGAGTAGTAGAGGCAGAGATGGGTGATGAGGAAGGTTGGCAAGTTCAAGGAGATGGTGGCGCTAGCTGTACAGGCGTTTGGGAGGGATCGTAATCATTAGTCCTTTTGGGGCAGTGTACGAGATATCATTGTGATTTGCAGCACTAAAAAATTAACAACGCCGCCAAGTGTGATGCGGTCATCATCGGGATGCACATGGCACGGGAGCTGGGTGCCCAGAAAATGTAGGTCAAATCCGACTCGGCCCTTGTAATCAATTAGCTTAATGGGGTGTTTGAGGTCAAGGAGGAGCCGCTCGAGACATACGTGAAAACCGTCAAGAGAAAGGGTGCTTGGTTTAGAGAGGTGGTGTTCACACATGTCTGAAGAGAGGAGAACGCCCATGCCGATGAATTGTCAAAGTTGGTAACCGCCTTGGACTTTACTGAAGAAAGGAGGGTCATTGTCACGAAAGAGATTCCAAAAGAGCACCTAATCGCAGCGGTAGGCCGTGCGGGCGAAAATGATGGGTGGATGGCACCTATAGAATTGTTCGTAACCCAAGGAATTAATCTAGAGGATCCCAAAGAAGTGTGACACCTCCGCAGGAAAGCTTCCCGGTGCTCAATCGTCGATGGTCAATTGAACAAGAGATCTCACTCGGGCGCGTGCTTGTGATGCTTAAGCAGTGAGGAGGATAAGGTTACCATTGAGGAGGTACATAGTGGAGCTTGTGACATGCATGAAGGAGTGCGAAGTTTGGAGAAGACACTATCGAGATAGGGGTACTATTGGCCGACGATGAGGAAGGACACGAGGGCACACGTGAGCACCTGTCACCAGTGTCAAGTGCACACAAATGACATCAATATCTCGGCGGCTCCAATGTAGGGCAATGTGGGCACCTAGCCTTTTGCCCAATGGGGCATTGATCTCTTGTGACCTTTCCCCAAGGCTTCTGGGCAACTGAAATACTTAATTCTCGCTATGGACTATTTCTCCTAATGGGTTGAAGCTGAGCCGTTGGGGTCAATCATCGAAGCACAGGTGCGTGAGTTCACCAAAAAGAACATCTTCACCAGGTTTGGGTTTCCCCAGTCCATTGTCACTGATCATGGCAAGCAATTCGACTACAAGAAGTTTATCGAGTTTTGCGACGAAAATGGGGTGGTGTTGTGATTCTCATCGGTAGCATACCCACAAGAAAATGGGCAAGCAGAGGCGGCCAACACAAGTATTCTTCACGGGCTGCATACAAGTCTAATGGGTGCCAAGGACCGATGGGTGGAGGAATTACCTAGTGTATTGTGGGCGCACAAGACAATGTACAATGTGGCTACAGGAGAAACGCCTTTCGTCCTAACTTATGGCTATGAGGTCGTTATCCCGGTCGAAGTCAGCATCCGAAGTTACCAAGTGACTTACCATGATCAAGCCAAAAATGAAAGGGACAGAATCAATGAGTGGGATCTTTTGGATGAGCGTCGAGAGATAGCAGTCGTGCCCCTGGAGATGAAGAGGGAAGTAGCGAGATATTACGATAGGAAAATGCGCCCACATGACATCACAGCAGGCGCCCTCGTACTCAAACGTTATTTTAGACCTGACGTTCAGGAAGGAAAGTTGGCACCTAAGTGGAAAGGTCCATATCGCGTTCGTGAAATCATCGGAGCTGGTACATTCAAGTTGGAGAATCTTAGCAGTAAGGCCGTAAAAAGGACGTGGATTTCACAAACTTTACGCTTATACTAAAAAGTTGACAGATGCTACCACATGACTTGATGGCCTTGCAGAGGAGCAGTTGTTAAGATTTATGTTAAGAGTGATTCAGAGTCCTTTCCTTGTTTTCAAAGAAAAGCTAACATGGCAAGATAATCAAAGGTAAAATGACCAAATTTGTTTAGCGCCTAGATGATGTTAGTTTTAAGCGCCCTACACTTCTAAGCGCCCAACAACGACAAAGTACTCCATTATATTATCAAGGCACCCTTTGAATGGGATGGTTGAAAACTATTTTGCATGATCAAGGCACCTAGATCTCGCAATCCCCATAGAACAAGACACCTCGAAGGGAAAGAAATAATTTCAGACGAGTAAAAATTGTTTGCACATTCGCATTGTCAAGCAATAGTTCGGACGAGAAAAGTTGAAAAGCACAATGAAAAAGTAACACACAGCAAGTTCCATAACTAGTCAGTCGGCGCCGGAGGTGGCGTCCCAGCACTGGGCGCCTCCCTCTCTCTAGGACTGGGTGTCTTCTTGTCTGTAGTGGTGGACGCCTGCTCATCTAGGTTGCCCGGGTTTTCTTCAAGCATATCCCCAATGAAAAATTTAACCATGTCAGAGAGGTCCCAAGTCAGCTAGGGGTGATCTCGATCGAGCTTTTTCTTGAGAGTGCTAATGTTGGTAACAGACTCCTTTGCAAACAAAGCCTGCCCATCCTCTGAACTTTCGTAATGCTCCAATGACGCCTTAAGGGTCTTGATTTACTTCCGAGACGCCTTCAGTTTCTTCCTAAAATCCCCGTGAGGAAGCAACAAGGCGGCCATCTCATATGTAAGGAGACTCTTGTTGTCCTTCAGAAAGTCAATCTCACTTGCTTGGTCGCTCGTCTCCTTCTCAAGTGCCTCCTTCTCTGATATAAGCAACTCATCTCGCGCGGCCAACTCTGTGGGGCGCCGACTCTCTTCACCCATCCTCCAACGGAATTTCTTCTACTCTTTAGTCAAGAATTGTGACCTCATTGGTTGGATCTGGCTAACAAGTGTATGTGGCTGAAGATGCCACACTGGCAGTCTTTGCGTTGGTAGTGGGCGTCTTCCCTTGCTTGCCTTTAACCGATGATTTTGAAGTTGATTTATTTGCCTTTGAGTTTGAGATAGAGGACGCCTTCGGATTAGAGACACCAACATTGGAGGTGGGAGCCCCGACAGACATCTTGGCGAAGTGACTTTTCATCAGCTTCGCGATTTTGGAAAATTCCGTTATTGCACATAAGCAAATGAATTTATCAAAAGGGTAACATAAATGCATATGTTAACCAAAATACTTCATAGGCACCCTACACACCATCATTATAATTAATAAGCATGAAGAATGGGAGTAAGCAGAAGTTGGGCGAAGGTTAACTGGCCGGGCGCTTATAAGCTGGGTGCCTGATTTCTCGTCCGGAGACAGGGGAACCATGATGCTGAAGCCCGCCTCATCGCTGGGCTCCCATCCAGTTTCAAACTTGCCCCCGTTTTCGAAGAAAAATTCACGGTGTGCTTTCATGTAGAAAACCCTCAGAACAAGCTCATCCCTAACTTGCGGCATTTTGTCACGAAATTCGTAACCCCCTTCCGCTTTTACAGAGACAAGCAGTTATCAAGAGGGACCATGATAAAAAAAGTGTCAAAATAGGTTGAACGTTTGATTCACATTGTATGTGCTACACTTCAACTTGAACATAATGATAACCAAAATAACTGAAGGAGATAGTCGCCCAATCGTGAAACCTCAAGATGCCAACACTCCTTCCAGAATGGAATCTATTGGAAATCGCAATTCGAAGTAAAAATATTCTTGATAGATCCCAAGCCATTTTGGCCCGCACAACCCGATCCTCGCGATAGAGGAGGTGGGCGCATACCACCAAGTCCGAAGCAGCTGCAGACTGATTATAAATTTCTCCATCCACGCCGCCGACACCGATGATTATTGTTCAGGCTCGGATACATTGGCGGGTATTTCGGGGGTGTCAGTGGGCGCATAATCCGGTGGGTAGGTGTTCTCCCATGAAGTAATCTTATACGATCCATCTTCAGGCACGTACCAATTCGAAGACGACAACGACATCGAC